CTGTGGTCAGCACAACTCTGCTGGCAACAGGAGCCCTCTCAGCTGAGCAAGGAGGAACAGGGACTTGGGAGCCAATTTTGCTGACAGCTGTTACATTTTACAGAAATTTAATTGACCTTGCACTGTGCGTACCTGATGGGACATGCAGGAGAGATGCAGTGAGAAAACTTCCAGGTAGTGCATTGACCTTGAGATTACTTAATCTGATTCACTGAAGATTGAGGCCAGTTTTTAATAGCAGAATTGAGAATAATAAGCAAGTCTCAGAATTTTTTTTTTTTCTCTGCCCCTCTTCTCCCTTCCTCCCCAAGAAAAATGGCAATTAAGAAAAGTCTCAAGATGTGCCCAACACACTTGGCATTTTAATTGGCATAAAATGTATTTCAATCTACTGAATTTAGAGGAGCACTCTAAGTATTTTGTCTCAGGTTAAGGAACACAGATCAGTGCAATTTAATCAACCAGTAAATAAAAATACCAGTTAGAACTCAGCCTGAAATTAATCCATCATAGCGCACCCAAACTATGAACTATGCCCACCTACAGCAAAACAACATATTTTTATTCCAAGTTTTCTTTTTAATTACATGTTGGTTGATTCTACATTATGAAGAGTTCTAAGAACCTTGCCTCCTTCCTCTCTCAAAAAGCTCCTTTTGTTTTCTTCATATTCCTGTCTTGTAACAGGCTTCCAATGGCTGGCATAATTTTTGTGAGCTGCATTTATTTTTATTTCAGTCGTAGGCTGGCTCAAACCACAACCTGCATTTCCCAAAGAATTTTAAGATTATTTTCAGTTATAACTTCTTGTTTATTTTGGGGCATTTGAAAGTGTCCTGCCTAGAAGAGTTTCACTTTTTCAGTCAGCCTTAGTTCTTACAGGAATTAATTATTTACGTCATTGTCATTATAACTTCTATGTTAATAATTTCAGAGTAGTAAAGTGGCATGTGAAGGTCAGAAGTCTCAGTAACGGTGAATCAGTCTAGCGAATGCAAATTTGTATGTACCAGCTATTTTGTATGGACAAAATTGAATTCACATCAAAGCACATGTCATTACATCCTATATCACTATGGTCTTGTTTGCCTTTAAAAATACCACAGTAAATAATGAAAAAATATGAATTCGTTGTGAATATATTAGTTAATAAAGGTGATTATTAAAGGGAATCTGTTATCTAAATATCTTTGTACTTTTTATGTGAATGTGTATAAACATGCTGAACATGCAGATGTGTGTGTGTTAATACAAGTGTTTACGTGTGTATAATTACTACACATATTTATGTACTTAGACTACATGCATATGTTAGTACTAAATTTGAAAGAAGTTAGAAATCAGCAGTGGCTGATTTTAAACAGTGATTTATATAAATGAAGAAGTCTTTGTGTGTGTGTGTGTGTGTAGCAGAAATGGCTTTTTCCATTTTTGCAGGGTTCAAAATAAGATCAAATATAAATACTTCATGGCTGGGAAGCCTGTTGATATGTGCCATGCTGCTGATGTAATACCAAAGCAAAACACGTGGAAAGTTGTGGAATTCCCTTTTATTTTTCTATATTGAGAGCATTTTGTGACTGTTCTGATGCCTTGGACGACCTTGTGGTTGTGTAAATGGCATCTCAGGGAAGCCGAGGCAGAGAATTGCTGTTCTCAACAGCATCACTCTGCAAGCAGTGTGTCCTGTCAGCACCCACTCCTTTGCACCTCAAGCCAGATGAAAGTCAACTTTCTATTAATCAGTTAGCTTCTGCATTTTCACCATCTTATTATTAAGGAAGGATTTGTGAAGTCTTCTGTTCTGGCATAGAGAGGTCTCCTGGGAAGCTCAGCACCTCAAAGTGGGGCAAACAGTGCTGGTCTGTTACAGACATGCTTGTGATCTCTGAGCTTCTGCATAGATTTGCATCAAGTTATGATTTATTTTGCGAGTAACCCCACAGACATCAAGGTAACTATTTGCAGAGAAAAGTACAAGTTTAATGTGAGCATGGAAGGCAGAGTCTGGCCTGTAGTACTTGGATGCCTGCAACAAAATGCTCCTGTCATCACAGGAGCTGACATGGTGTCACAAACAATTACAGCTTGAGATGAGCTGCTGTCCTGACTGGGACATGGGTGATTGTTTCTGGAATAGATAGAAAGTTCTCCAGTTATATGAAATAAAGATATTCAGGTACTACAGAAAGATGATCAAATTTGAACTGATGTTTGTTGAGTCTGAGTCTGTGCCCTCTTCTCTCACTTCTTGCTGAGAGCAGAGGACACTGCACCATGAAGTGCTGTCCAAAACTCAAATGAGCAGTGAACAGGTGGTACATTGTCAGGCTATTTCAGATATGGAAACCATTTGTCCAGTTTTAGATTGCTATTGCTAGCAGCATGTCTTTCAGTTGGGAGAAAGAGAAGAGGTTATTTAAGACTTACACAACTCCTGTTTGCCTTTCAGAGCATGCCAAGTAGGATTTTAGAAGGAATGCTTGCAGATCACTGGCAGCTTCCCTTGAATCTATTTGATGCAATTCTCATTTATTTTCAAGGTGAAACATTGGAAAGAGCTCACACAGCAGTTCAGTTCAGTGAAACATGCACAAGTTCATTTTGGAGTCAGTGTTTGGGGCTCAAGTGCAGTGGGCAAGACGGATGAAGAGGCAATTCTGATTTCTTTGATGTACTTCATTTATATTATCTCTCCACAGCCTGCTTCAATGCAGTGTGTCCAAGACCCCAGGGGTGTGGAGCTGGTGTGTGTTAAAGTTGGTCACTCTTTCAGTATCTCTGGAGTCAGGGCAAATAAGACAGAAATCAGTGATGGATCCCTTAAATACAGAAGCTGCCCTACCAAGATACAGCACAATAAATATGCCAGAGAAAGGGTGATCCACAGGACAACAAGGCCATGGTAATGGCCAGTGGTAACACTGAATTACCAAGACACCTTTTGAACTTTCTGGAGTATGCTGAATGATGTGATTTTTCAGCTTCTTCTAACAAAGTGTTGTATCTGAGATTCCAAAGTGCCTGGGGGACATGAGTGCTCAGTGACTTTGGAGAGGACTAGGCAGGAAAGATCTGCTGCTGTGCAGGGACAGCCATATGGTACTGGAGCACTTGGACATCCTCAAGAGAAAGATATCTGCTCTGTAATACAAGGAAAAGCTTTGTCCAACAACTTTGAGCTTTCTTTGTTGCCCTGTACACTTGCTGCCACGTGTTGTGCTGTACAGGACTAGGCACATCATTTCTGCCTGGGCTCTGGCACTTGTGTGGCCACAGTCCATTCAGCTCTGATTTGAGGCTGTTTCTGCAAGGAGAATGAAACAGACAGGTCAGCTGAGCTGTAATGTTCACTTGCTGCACACTTTCCTGCATTTGCGCTGGAGCTGGAAAGCGAGGGCTTTTCTTGGTGAATTCCTATTTTAAGATTTCAGAATGGCTTCATCCTATATTGAGATGCAAACAAGTGCTGTCATTTCTTCCATGGCATTTATTTTGGTCTTAATTAAGTTCATTAACATATTTATTTACCCTCTTCACTTGGAAGTCTCTTAGTCTCTTACTGAACAGAAAATAAATTCTCTTCTCAGTTGCTGCTCTCTTTCTAAAGCTCTTGTGGTTTGCTAAGAATCTAGTCCATGTCAAGTAAGATTTCATGAGAAATGGCATGGAACCTGCTAAAACATTCCCTGCTTTTCTTTACTATCTTTCAACTTCCTAAACTTTCTTGAACTCCTAACAGCTGTCAGACCTCAACTTTAGGGTGTTGACTGTTAGACAGGCTTTTCAAGGTGGGAAAAAGGAGTGAAGATTATGAGATGGTATCTTTCTAGGAATAGATATGTACCATTTTGTTCCCCATTCTGTCACATTAGGATTTTTAAAGCCACTGCCTTATTGCTACATAATATGTAATGCTACATTTGTGGATTAATAGAGATTCTTCCTTCTCATCTTTCATCCCTTTACTTACCTTTTGCTTAAATTCTTTTGAATATTTTTCACGTATCCTTTCACTTACCTTTTTTCCAGTAATTAGTTATTTCAACATGGAATTTGTAAATACCAGCTATAATTGATTTTCTCTCTGTCATGTTCTCTGGCCATCAGTTTACTCTGTTCACAGCTAGTGATGTATAGATACAGTTATATCATCTATACTTCAGATGATGCTTAAAAAATCCTTCTATTCCTCTTTTTTCAAATAAATAACTTGATCCTGAAGCTGTGAATTTACAGCTTTGGAATATGGGAGATTGCAATAATGACTTAATACCTGTTGGGCAATTATATTCCAATTACAGAAGTTGAATTAATTCAGTTTGATGGATGCAAACACTTCTGGGAATAATCAGGGAAGTAACTCAGTCCCCAGTAGAAAAGTCTGTGTTTGAATACATCTAAAGCACTATTATAACACTGTTGGAGGGAGCTCTTGCTGTGCATTTATTTTTTCCCCAAAGTCTCTCTGTAGATAAAAGGGATGAAGAATAGAATGGGTAGAGACATCAAAATTTAATTAGTTGTCTTATAAAACATAAGTGTGTTTTAGTCTTGTGGACATTCTGCTCAGACTTTAGGAGTGGTACCTTTGTCTAATTATTGCTGAAGTAAGAGACACAATTAAAATGTACTTGCAGGAAGTGTGAGTATTTTTTATGCAACAGAACACTCTACCTGTCTTGTAATTTTTCCTCTTTAATGTGTGTCAGTAGGGCATTTGGGAGTTTGGAATGGGGATTTCGTGATTTTTTATGTGTTTGCATGGATTTTTTTCCCTTCATCTGCAAGACTTGTTTTAGTAGGAGGAAATAACTTTATTTTGAAAGAAGTATCAGCAAACTTAGCAAGAAAAATGTATTTGTTACCAGCTGTATTTATCATGAGATTGTATTATGGTGACAACCTTTCATCTAGAAATTTATGCCTGTTTTTGAATGCAAAGACTGATAGATGGATTTGAAAAACAGTAACAAGAACTCTTCTTTGTTTTTGATTAGATCCTTCAGATGATGAAGCTATTGAAAAAGCGAGTGAAAACAGGACAGCAACATGTCAAGATTCAGATTCCAAACCTGCTGTGAAAAAGAAAAGAAAGCAGGTTTGTAAATTATTAAGTAATTGTTTAGCACAACAATGATAACACATAGGGAAACATAATGTCCTTTTTTCAGTAAAGGTACAGTTTTCTTCAGTCTCTCTGATCTGTTATGTTCATGTTTTTGGGGTTTTTTTAATTATGTTGTCTTATTTAGAAGTGATCACATTCTAGTACATTTCAGCAATAACTTCACACTTGTTTTGTGTGAGTTGAGATTGCCAGGCCTTTCCTACAAAGTGATTGTCCAGAGGTACAAGCCTGAATGGTGCTACTGAGTATCCTTCCCTGCAGTTTTTTCCCTTTCCCTGCACACACAAAGTCTGGAAAGCTATATTTACTTGTTATACAGATTATCTTCCCAAGCATGTCCCCAGTTCAAGGTCCAAATGAAAAATAATTTAGGTCTTCATAGATTGATGTTTTCTTACCCTTGGACTGCTAAAACCTTCATTTAATGCCAAGAGGAACTGTGTTGTTCAGCATTACGTGGAGTATGCCAAGGAACATCAGCGTCACCCCAGTTTGAGGGAAAAAGTCATCTAGAGGTTGGCTGATTTTATGAAGTTTCTTGTTTGAAGGTAAATTTGTTCTGCCTTCCTCATACCACCCAGGAGAATTGACTGAGTGGCTGTTGGAGAGCTAAAATTACATTGGAAGCTCTCTCTCCTTGAGGTTATGAATATCAATTTTGACCCCGAGGTCAATAGTAAATTCACTCTGTAATGCTTAGGCAGCTGCCCAAGTGAAAGCCATTTGCAGGGATGTTCTTTTTTTGTAACAGAGAAGTGTAAACAACATGGTAGCAATTACTATGCTTTTTGGATGTCTTTCCAAAGAGACCAAAGGTGAAGTGATCCAAATATCTGAATGAGATCAATATTTTGATTAGGAAAGAGAACCAAGCGATACAGGAGAAAGCTGTATTGCCTTTGTACATCCTCTGCCAGGGGGTCAAATGCTGAGGAGTGAGAATTCTTATGGAACCACCTTTTATCACCGTTTTCACTAATGCATTTAGAAGTAGGTTAAGACACTTTGTTTGGAAGGGTTGCTTGACTCTTTTTATGAGAGTCTTAGAAAGGATAGCAAACACAAGTTACTTACCAAGGTAGCCTGGCACTGCTCACTTGTAGCAGAACACCTGCCACTGCTCTTTCTGTCATATAAAGAATATCCGCCTGCATGTTGGAATCAGGTAATTTGATGTTTAGATGTGAAACTGCAAGAGGGAAATGCTTTTTGGGAGCTCATGGATGGGTTATTGCCCATCTTTTAGACATACAATTCAGAGTTATTTATGGAAAGCTGGTGGTTTTGTAGTTCTTGTGCAAATAACAAAACCCATTTTACTCATGCTGCCTTATTCAGAGGCTGGAAGTTGTTCTGCAATGGACTTGGCACCTCAAAGCCTGTCACAAGACAACCCAACAGAGTTATGAGCATCCATGTTCCTAGTCTGCAGGCTGTGCTCGGGCTTACAGTGGAATGAGTGATCTCTCTCCAGTCTGAGTGATGCAATGATGTGTTTACTTTGTCACAAACTCCAAAAGTTAGAGTATGTGGCTGACCTGGAATGTAAACTTTCACACACATGCAAGACTGTTTTCACTCTACTTTTGAATTTCCCATCCCTTTGGCAATGTGTAAAGAAAAAAAGCATGTTAGAAATATAATACAGGAAATATTTTATACTCTGTGTATGATTAACAAACAAGGAATTTATAACATTTTAGTTCATAAATCACTGGTCTCGGCACAAATTTCCTGTTTTCTGCATTTTAAGAATTTCCATGTAAAAATAGCATAAAAACACGAGGGAGCCCTGTCAAAAAACAGTGGTTGTCTGCTTTGTGTCTTGCATAAGAGAAGCATGCAAATGACCTTTTCTTAAGGATGGCATGCAAGGAGCTATTGCCTGAGTAGGTAGGCAACTAATGCTTGGATAAGGGTCAGAAGTTCAGGATAGATCAGATGCTGAAATATTTTAGACTGCAGATCATCAAAGACGCATAAGTTTACAGCCAATCACCACCACAAAATTTCTCTTTTTATGTCACTATTTTTAATGTCTGAATAACGTGGGTTTACTATTGCTGGGCTAATAATTTAGGCATAATATGCTATGCCTAAATATATATATGCAGTGTAAAGGAGGCAATTTTGCATCTTAACATGCTTCTCTCTAAGGAAGCAAGGCTTTGACTATAAACCTGCTGTGTGCTTGTGTTGCCTGCTGTTTCTGTGGCTTTTGAAAGAAAGGGTTACATACTGCCTTCAAGAAAGAAGCCATGGCATTTGGTGGTACTTTCAAATATTTGAATGAAGGATTAGCAGTGAGAAATTTTTTCTTTCAGAGAAATTTTTTCAGCTGTGTGGCACATTTCATTCTTTTCTCATACAGATATGAGTTGGGAGTGTTTGCAGAGTTATGTTAAGCAGTTCATGATGTATAAGAAGGGAGAAATGGGCCCAAAGTGAATGAGTGATATTTTTCAGTATGCTGGAAGCACCACTGGGAGAGGGAACCATCATACTCTGCTGGAGGACAGAGTTTCATGTTGGCCCTTCTCTGACTTTTTGATTGCTTGTAGGTAGCCCTTGACTGAAGCAGTGCAAAGGCTTGTTCTCTGCATAAAATATGATGTTGAACATAAAATTTATTATTAAAACACCTGGCTAATGGCCTTTAAGTATCTATGGACAGCTGGGGTGTGTAAGAGTAGAGCAGAGGGTAGCTCTGTTTCAGTCTCAGTGTCTGGGAATGCTAATGGTAGGGATAGGAATGAAGAAATGTATGGTGGTGTTTTAAAAACACTTGAATCAGAGTCAGGACAGAGATTTTTAAAATAGCAACAAACCAAAAATAAAGCAAAAAACTTACATTAACTCTGGAACAATTTTGTTAATTAAAGTGAGTTTCCACTTGCAGTCATTCCCTTCATTTCTAGTGATGATAATCTTTGCTTGTACCTGAGAAAATCATAGGGACAGATTTCTGTTGTTGAGGCAAGATATAATCCCTGTCACAACTTCCCATGGGTTTTGATGCAGGCTGTGTTACATTCCAGCCGTAGTTGTAGAGTGCTTTGCTTACTTGCTACTTAGCTGTAGCATGTCCCCAGCCAAACCTTCTCTGGTAATTTCAATCCTCAACCAGTTTCAGAGCCACGGCTGTACAATACTACTACCTTGGAAAGGGCAGTGGCTGGGGCTGTGTCACAGCACAGAAAGTAAGAGCTCATTTATTTGTGTTGAGCGTGGTGGTTACCTGTTTGAATAGCTAATTTGGCAAGGGGAGTGGGGAGGAAAAGAGAAATGAAGGCACAATATGAACAATTAAACCTCAAAAAATGCTTCTGATAAGGCTGTGAGAGTGGGCTTGGAAAGGCAGGAATGTGCTGCGTTGGGTCATTTAGCACCAGTTGCCATGAAGTGTCCTCCTGTTAAGGCGGGGCAGTGCAAGGAGGGCTCAGAAAGGCCCAGATACTCGGAACACCTCTTACCTTTCCTTTGTCCCTCTTGGCCTGACTGAAGCTGCCTTCCCAAGGCAACAAAGGAGCAGCTTCTCTCTGACTTTCAGCTAGGCTCCCTTTCCTGCTGATACTTTTCTTTCAGGCTTTCCCCAGGGAGGAGTGCTGGATTTGCTCTTCCTGAGCTTTTTAATGCTCTGTGTGATGAGTCTTCTCCACATTTTCTCACAAGAGCAGAGTTTTGCAGCCAAATGTGTCACAGTGGTGTGGAGCATTTTGCTGCAGCTCAGCCTATTTTGCCATTGCTCTTCATTAAGTCACTTATTAAGTTCCAAAGCCTGTTTGTGTAGATAAATGTGCACTTCCATTAGGTAGAAAGCCCCAAGAAGGCAAAATAAAAGAGAACTGCTACACTCAGAACAAGAGAAGTCTGTGCCTTGCTTCCTCTGTTTTGGACAATTTTAGGTGGCTACGGTCAAATGCTAGCCCTGGATTATGTGAACAGGGACTCTGGTACAAATGGACCAATTCAGCCTGTTCACTCAGGCACAAAAGAGGGTTAATGATAGCACCATGTATTTTTCTTGTGTGTATTTGACCCTGCCTACTATGAAAAGTCAAAGCAAGAATGGGGTAGGACAAATTTGAAACATGTTTTCCTAAATTTTGCATTACAAGTGTAGAAGGAACTTCAGAGCATGATTGTTTCTAAATAATATTGCCCAGTTCCGTGTTATTTTTACTGTCTGGATGCTCACCTTAGACCCAGTTATTTTAGAACACTACTGGCAAAGTTTAGAAAAATTATCATTCACAACAGCAGAGATTAAAAATATAAACTTAGTGGTAGATTTTGTTCATTTTTTCCGCCTGATTTTTTTTAATGTATCAAAACCTGCTTTTCACCATTTCATGGAGTTATGACTACACCCTAAACACTTCAATTTTCTCTTCTTTTATTCCCTCTCTTGGTTGCAACAGCAATCTCAATTCCAAAATTACTTTATATACATATAGCTGTAAGGATTTGATTCCATCTACGGGTGGGGACGTTCAGTTTAAATTGTTTATTCCTAGCCCGGCATTATAGTTTCTGTATCTCCTCTTACCAGCTTCGCCTTCCTTTGGTGACTTTTTTTCTTACCTCTTTTTTTTAATGTGTTTTGCAGCCTACAGAGTGTTTTTTAAGTCAGCCCAAAGAAAAGCAAGAGAGCGCTGTGAAGGCAAAGAGGAGGAAGAAGGTATGAGTGTCTTAGAGTGTGTTTGGGGTCTGGGCAGTGGGTTTATGTGCTGCTACAAGATGCAGAACGGGGACAAGGGACAACCCCATGATGATGAGATGGTCATAATATTGCAGCCTCTTTTAGAGAAGAAGAGAAATTCCTGATTTTTAAACCTTACTTGAGATACCTATTCCCAACCTGACCTGTGGCATTATGTCTGTGTTCCACTCAAGGTTTGTGTATGTCTACACCCCACTTGTTGCCCACCAGGAAAGGGTGACTGTATGGAAGAAAGGTGGGACTTCAGTTGCTGCAGAATCTGACCCACTCCCACAGTGTGGTCAGACTCCAGCTGCTGTTACATCTTTTGAGCCAAGGACTGTCCTTGTTCATTCTTCTCCTCTCTGCATAAGTATATAAATAAATACTCTGTGTTGTCCCTCTGGCCGTGCTCCATTCTCACCCACAACAACAAACACCCTGCAGTCTAAATGGAGATTATCTGGCACCAGGCAAGTTAATTGTCTTTCTGTAGGGGGACAGACTGTAAATAGTTGGCACCCTCACAAGGCTGAGGGGTGGCCTTTTTATGTTATGTTAGCCCTCTTAGTCATTCAGGGAATGGGAAGAGGGAAGAGTGGGATTTTGCTTTCAATGTGGCTCTGGCACAGTAAGTGCAGTACTCACTCCACTGGAGCCAGAGTGAAGGCATGCCATGGCAGAGGCTGGCAAACCCACCTAGCAAGAAACCCCATTCTCAGGCAAACAGCAGCTGCTTGCTTACACCTTTGCTTTCAGTGGGCCACTAAGCTGACATACACAGCCTGTCAAAAAACCCCATTAGGAAACATTTATTATATTGATCTGTGGCTTCCAAACAAAGTGCTGTCTCCAAAAGTAAGGAAAAGTGGGGAAACCCCTTTTGTTTTTAAGCATCTGGAATGAATTGGAAGAAAAATAATAAAACTTCCTGCATGGGGAACAGTTCCCCACAGCACTCCTTGAAGGAAGAGGGTTTGCTCAGGTGTCCTTGTTCTTGCTCTTAAAGAATTTCTCATTGTATCAGGCTTCTCCCCTCCAGAGGGCAATAATTTTTCTGAAGGAACCAAGTGGCACAGTGAATGACGTAACAGTCCTGTATGAAGTACCAAGTAAAGTGAGCCTGATAGTTCTGTCTTGCTGTCTGCTAAACCAGAGGTTCCCAAATGTGGGTCATTTCAGAGGCAGCTTGTGAGACAGGGCTGGGGAAAAGCGTCTGGGGTTGTTGGGAGGAACAATGGAGAGGTTTGGTTGTGGGTCTCACAGAGAGGCTGGCTGTGCTTCCACGGCCTCTGGTCGTGCTTTGGGAAGACACTTGTTCCGTGGCAGGAAAATACAACAGTGGTAAGTGAAGGGGAATCTTGGGAAGGAATGCTGCAGATTGAAGCACTGCAGAACAGCCAGAGGTCCTCTACAAAGTCTTCCAGGGACTACAGAGGGCTTTGCACCAGGCCAAAGCTAGACTGAGAGGAAGGCAAAAAGACTTCATCTCCATGTCAAAGGTTCAGCTGGGGTCTTGCAAACCCACAGGTGGCTTTTAGCAGGGATGAAACAGGCGGTGCCAAAGTGGCAATGGATGGGAGAAACAGCTCATGCCTTGCCTTCACTGTTTTGGCAGCCCCCAGATGGCTCTTCCCTGTTCAGCATTCTGCCCCTCATGTTGCTGTTGTTGGAGTATTTGGGCTGTGTTGGGGAAGAGGAACAGAGTGATGGGGAATGAAGAGAAGTGGGAGTGGGTGCTGAGATGGAGTGAGGGAAGGAATGGATGGAAGAAGGTCTGTCCCTGACATTAAAAATCCTGCTATACTTCTCTTCAAAATTTTCATTGATCTTTGCTGTCCTGAACCTCAGCCTACCATACTGAAGGTACCCACCATTCCTCCAAAGCTGCCAAAAATTCTTCCAGATCCAGCTCATCTCTGTGAAATCCCACTTTGCCTCAAAAATACAGACCCTTTTGCTCCATCCTACCACACCCTTCTGCTCCTTTTCACTTTTAGACCTATGCTACCATGTGTCCCCTTCATGATGAAATCAGTTTAGCTTACACAGCTGAGAAACCTTGAGCTGTCCTTTCAAAATCTAACTACATCTCAGCAATAACTAGAGAGGCATCACATTCTTGTCATTCTCTCCAGACTGCCTCTATCCTTGCAAATTTGCTGTTTTCTAAAATACTTATCATTTGCTTTTCTTAAGTGCTGGCAGATCAGTCAATGGGAACCATGGCCTATTCTACACACATATTCCATTTAATTATGGCAAAAAGTACAGCAATCCTTTCACTTCAGTGAGAATTCAGACCTGTTACTTAATAAAGTTCCTAAGGTGCAAAACACAATCATTATGAACTCATGTTCAGTCTCTAAAAATTATTAGTTTTTTTAAAAAATTACAGTGTGAGAGAACAAAGCAGCTGTGAGTTCCTGCTGCTTGACCTGTGGTTCTGTTGTTTTAACTAATTTTCACCATCCTGGCATGGTATTCTATGCATATAGCTAACCATCTTCCCTTCCAAATATAGATAGATAGTTACCCTGTTTAAATCAAAATATAACCACATCATATACTATCACTTGATTCCTGTTGTTATGCCTTAAGAATAATAAACTAAAACAAATTAGGAGGAAAAAAAGCCTGAATTTTCAATCTGAAACTAAAGTGTAGCAATAGCAAAACTCAAAAAACAGCTTTCAGTTAAGTTTTTGTTACAGCAGCATTGCAGGTGAGTGTACAAGATTTTTAATGTGCAGGCTCACAGACCGTCTTGTCCAAGCTTGCATCTGAAGTCTGCATTCCCTCTAAAGACAAAGACAATCTTGTCTCATTGTAAGGTGTTTTCCCAGTTAAGCCATAATTAAACTGATATAACTATATAAAGATATGGAGGAATATTTATGTACAGTGTTGTTAGCTAGCCAAAGAGCTGTATAGAAATACCATGTTAATCTATTTTACTTGGATTTTTTAGAAGACGATTTCTGATGTTCTGCAAAAATCTGCTCCAAAACCTGGTGTCCCTGCAGATCTACAAAATCTACTTACTCAACATTTTGGTGAAAACCGTTCTGTGATTGAAATAGAGGAATTAAAGCTGTCAGGTAACTTATCTTGTATTTAATATATAAATAATGTTTTTTTCATGATACTATTGACTTCTTTTTCTGCAGAGGAAAGATGATTTTTGGGACATAATTGAGTTGTACTTTTTAATGAAAATATTTTCTTAATTTTTTTTTTACTGTATATTAATTTGCTGTTTAAGTTGAAATGTTAATTTCATTGGAATAAATGTGAGGTGGTTTGGAGGAATGGAAATGAAACGTTGTTTAAATATCTCTTTTATTATAAAGTGTTAATTTCTGAGCTCACTTTTCTGATAATAATTTTATGATTCCTTATAGTAGCTCCCAAGATGCTGTGAGGGATGTATTTTGTTCCTGGGGTTATCTGAGTCAATGCATAAGAAGGGGCTGACAGAAATAGACAAATAATGAGGCATCATTCTCATATGGGCATGAGATTTTGAATGCAGTGGTTTTTTAGGGAGTGGCATGAATTGAGGTGATAATTTTGGTCCATGTGTGAAGTGACCAAATTTTAGCCATGAGGACCCTTTTTTTTTTGCCTGTATCCTGCCTTCAGTTAAAAGCCGGATAGGAGAGGCAGAAAGCAGGACAGAGCAGGCTTAGCTTCTGTCAGTTGGAGGTTGCACTGGAAATGATGGCAACACTGAATTTCTCTGCCTCTCCTGTGCAGACAGAGACACTGTCCATTATTTGTTGGTAGGGCTCATGAAGAGCAGCAGTCTGGTAACCAACCTGCATTCACCTTGGGACTTCTTGAACTGTCAATGACCAATGCCCAATGCAGAAGCCTTCTAGTCCAGCAGTGCTTTTGCTTTATGAATGCATAAACCTGTCTCTCTAGGTAAATGTGCTCTTCCTTAATCCCCATGATTCTAGGTGGACCCTTCTTTATTTCTGTGGGGCAGTCTCAGCTTTGTTACTGGATCAAGAAAACCTGGAGAAATCCCATATAGATTTCTTTGAAAAACTTGTGTTAAGTATTTTTTGGTATATAAGATTTTTAGGAAATAATAAATTGGTTTGGTTTCTTTCTTATTAAAAGAGCCCTTTGGGCTACTGAAGGGACCCATTTCCATATGTGTTGGATGGCTATATTTTTTCCTTAATTTTTTTGCTGGGAGTTGAAGGCTTAGAGTGCCAAGGAGTTTTATGAACTTGTAAAGCTGTCAAGTCATTCACGTCAAAGCACTGAGTCAATAACAAGCAGCTACTTTGGAGTTGTGTGTTCCTGTTCACTGGCAAAGTGCAGAAGGTCAGAGTTGGTCAGAAAGTCAGCATGGTCTCTTGCTGCAGTCTGGAGCTGTGTGTTTCTTCCCCCCTTTCTGAAACTTCCATTTAAAAGTGTTGTAAATACTGCAGTGTTGCTGCACTGTTGGTGAGGAGTCAGTGACTGAAGCTGTGTCCTTCAGAAAGGACCTCTTGAACTGTCAGTCATTAATGAGGCTGTGTATTCAGAAGATCAGCCCCTGCCCATCCCCACCAGCATCAAATGCATCTTTTAAACATGATTTTTAATGTAAATCAACTGCTGATGCTTCAGTTGTATATATGCATTTCCTTTGAAGCTCAAGTTGCAGTAAATGTCAGTCTCAGGATTTAATAGGAATCAGTGCAAAATAAAAGCTTTTAGCAAGACAGGACTTGAGCCAGGCATTGGCTACAAAGCAAGTTTGTCACATTGTCTGTTCTGATGAAGATCTTGGATTCATGCTGTCAGCATTAGCATAGTGCATCATCCATGTGAACGTGAATAATGTCTTTGAAGAAACCTCTTTAGTTTAGAAAATCTATCAGCAAACATCCTTGGACACCCTGAGGGGCTGTGCTTCATGCAAGATGGTGATAAAAATGTAAGTCTTTATGGACAAAAAAATTGTTAATGCTCTGCAAAAGCATATTGTTCCATCAGGCAAACAGCCCTTAACAACAGTGGCAAGTTTTCAGACGGTGGTATTTTAATCACCTTTTTTAAGAACTTTGATTTTCTGTATAGGCATGAGAAAGGACCTTCCAAAGTACCTGTTAGGATCTTCTTTGCCATTATATGAAGTTAAATGGCATGTTTGCCACAGAGTGCTTTTACAAGACTTCCTAGTTAACACAGTGACCACAGAAGAGGAAGTCAACAGGAAATGGAGGAAGAGATGGACATTGAAAATGCAGTGGAGGTGTTGCTGTCAGGGTTGATGTAGTTAGTTGGGTTGCCACAAAGAAGGTGAACAAACTTACTGACAAGTAAATTATTGGTAGATTCTTGCATTTGCACAGTATGAATAATTTGGGGGATGTACAAACATATTTCATCACAGGTACATTGGAGGAACAATCTAGGGGTGTAAGGCTTTTGGCTGAGGCTTTGGTTCATTGTGGCAAAGACATATGAAAACTTCCTTGAAAGCATGTGATCACACTTGTACAGCAGCCCAGTATTCAAGGTTTCAGGCTGGAAGAAAAAAAAGAAATTGCAATTCAGAGGTGTTACCTTCATTGATTTAACCCATACAAAGTTTCTTCTACATTAATTTTTGTTTCAGAAATGGTAATTTATTGGTGATGGATTTATGAAGGTGGGATTTCATCAACATAACTAGTGGTTTTGCTGCAAACATATGTTCTCCCTTTGCTGTTAAAACACACCAACAAAAATATTTTTTCCTTTATGTTTTCAGACTCCTCCTTTTTGCCAGCCAATGATCTTACCCACAGTTTTTCTTCATACCTGAAGGAAAGTGAGTTTAAATGTCGGTCTGGATGAAAGTTGTATGAAAAATATTATTAAGACAATATTACTGCATTTTTATATGTAGCTCCAAATATTGTTTATTAAGAAATATTAATTACTTTAAGGCTTTTAAATTTTTTTAAAATTACAGGTATTGTTTTTCTGGCTCTTATTTAATCACACTTTTTTTGGGTATCAAGAATGTTCTAGGCTTTCTTATAATTGCTAGGGATTATTTGTCAGTAATTTATTGTGGCTTCATGAGTAGGTGTATGTATTATCTTAGAATGAAAGTCCTGCAGCTGGCTGCTGACATGAACCAAGTGATTTTTTTTTTCTCTTGTATATTTATGTAGAACTTCTGGTCTGGTAAACGTTCCTTTACAGATGATTTTCTCTGATAAAAATTGCCATATGTGGCAAATGAAGACAATAGACTCATCACCTTAAAAACTGTTTATTGTTAATGCTTATCTAGTTTCTTCAGTTATGTGATATTTCTGTATTATATTTATTCTGGGCATTCCATTTTCCAGTTTCTCAGCCATGACTAAATGCAAAAGTGATGCCAAAGTTCCAGACCTCAAAGGAGTCAGCATGTGTGTTCTTGCTGCTGGCTACCATTCATCATGTACTCTAGTAATTTAAAATTGTGGCATGTAGTATTTTGTGTGGGTACAAGGGCTTTTCCATTGCAGTCTGTCCTAAGTGGGCGAAGCTCCGGAGAAGCCACAAGGAGAAGAAGTCGGTGGTGATGCTGGTTCTCTGCAGCTCTGCCCTTCGCTCCTTGGAACTCATCAAGTATGTCAACAGCAAAGGCTGTGTTGAGGTTGGCAGTCGGTCAGGAGTTTTGTCTTGGAACCACAGGGAAAAAGGCAAAACTGGGACGCTGTCCTCTGCTAGCCAGCAAATTCACTGACTCAAACTGATGCAATATCCCTTCCTTCTTTAAACTCTAGGAGTGTGGCGTTCAGTTTTGAACTCAAGTAATGCTCAGTATTTCAGTTGCCTGGGAAGTGTTGCTTTTGTTAAAAACCAAAAGTAAAGTGTAACCAATTTAGGGGAAACATGGAACATGTTATACTTGGGAACAGAGTAAGCCCATAAAGCATCATGATCCACCACTAGAAGTCAAGGCTTTGCACCACAGGCAGAGAGGACATGGCATTTCAGGACCTCAGGTGCCAAGGTGTGTCTGGCCTGAGTGCCTTCAGGTCTGTGTCAGCGTTCTCAGCTTGCTCAGGCTGGCAAAAATGGTTGGCAGAGATGACAATTTTCAGTGTGCCCTGTCCCCGTTTTTCCCCCTTCTCTATCCTCCCACTTCTCATGCCAGATGTTTTGATGACTGATGAATTGATGGATACCTCACAAATTTCATGGTTGTCTTGACCCTACTTATCTGTCAGTACAAAATGAGATGTAGATTTGGGAAGTTTGATTCCATGACACAGATATAAGCATAGATAAGCAGATATAAGCATAGATAAAGCCAGTCGTGCATGCAGAGACTAGCACCTGAGACTTAAGTTTTTTAGGTGTAGGTAAACCTTTAGCTTTGCAAATTAAAAATTTGTTGCACTGCAAGAAGCATGCAGAACAAGCTGTCTTAATGACATTCAACAAATACTGAATATATTGTCTCCTATTTGAGGAATACAGAACATAGAAGTGTTATGGTGTGCCAAAATGGAGTGTCAGAAAAACAAGTCAAGGTTTCTAACAAATTTGTTTGGTTAATTGGTTAAATATCTAAATTTGTTTGGTTTGGTTAAATATCTACAGTAATGACAGTGGCAACCTAGGTTTTCCCAGCAACCATGCTGCAGGAAGACTGTGAAATGTATTGTCCATACACAGATCCTTCCTTTTCTGCACACACACTCATATTCATTAATGCCTTTATCTCAGTAACTGAATTATTTTTTAATGACGATTTAGTGATTAACCAGTTTTGAACTAAGCTAGCCATGGAAGCACAGACCATAATATTAAATATTATCTGACAAGCTATCTAAACAGTATTGCCCTGATATCTTCCACTGTGTCTGTCCAGTTGTTGATCTCTGTTGATGAGTAGCAAACAAGAATGTACACAGTGTTCAGAGTACAACCAGAGTTCATTGGGGGGACTGTGTGTGTCTCAAACATATTGAGAAATGCCAGTTGGTTTTTCTTTCCTCATGTGTGGTCTTAAGCCCAGCCCTGCTTCTTGTATTTCACCGTTCTTTTTTTTTCATTATTAGGTCAATGACAGCCTTTAAAGGGGATTGCAGAGTCATCAAGTTGTTTGCAAAGCACATAAAGGTAGGGAATTTTAATAGAGCTAGCAAGCAGCTAAATAGTGTGATATGATTTTCTTTTTAAATCCTTTGGCAGTAGTGCCTTTCATACAGTGCTCATATGAAGCTCCTTCCTTTAGGTGGTGCTTCCTTTGGTAGCCCATTGCTGCAGTGTGAAGAATTTCACTAAGCACCATCTCCAGTAGCTGTGGTGCAACTCTGTGCAGAATGTAGATGCTTGTGCACCTGCTGAGTTTCACTGTTCCACATTCCCATCAAGTGCTCATTCAGTGCCAGAAGGCTCACACATGCAGCTCTGTGGAAGCACACTGTCCATCACCCACATTTGGATTCTGAAAATTGAATGCCTGGATCCCCAGTATCCATACCTTTAAAAAGCAAAAATTATGGGGGTGTTGGGAGTAATGAGTGGACATTTGGCCTTTGATATAAATGCTGTCAAACACACAAATATCATTTGCTTTATTTCACCTTTTTCCAGTATCTTCATCTTGAAGGACTTCAGAGTTAATTCAAGTTTTTCAGTATTCCAGAGCATTTGTTTAAATGCTGAAGGAATCTTGCTGTTCTCACCTCTAAAAATAGTTGGTGCAATAGCAGATTTTTAAAGTTAAAAAAGATTAAACTTCTAGAGAAGTGTGATGCCCAGCTGGCTTGTTAGATTTCTTAAACTTTCTTCCAGATATAATCATCTGACAGTTTGAAAGGCAAATATCATTTTTTATTTGATGATGTTCTAGAAAGAAATACAATGAGATCTTGAATTTATTTCCAATTCCTTGAGAAGAAATTTTAATACAATTATGGGTTTACTGTTGATTTTTCTTTCTCTCTTCAAATCAGATAAAGGAGCAAATGAATATGTTGGAGAAAGGCATGTTTCACATTGGGGTTGGAACTCCTGGGAGAGTAAAGGCACTAGTGGAGCAAGGTAGGAGAACAAGGAGGGTTTCCTCCCTAGGCATTTTGTATTTGCTCTCATGAGAAGTGAAACTATTTCTTTTTTTTTTAGGTTGACATGAACATGTAGATTTGGGTACTAAACTGTATGGTTTTGTTTCTTCACTTGTTCTGTGTCAGTCAAAACAAGGTCAAGGTTCTGGTACTCTGTTTTATGATCACTTTAAGCTGTCATAAGCCAGTATTAGTAGAGAAAGGCAGAGAAATGCTTCCTCTCACCTACCAGTCAGTGCTTATTCCCCTTTTCCTGCTCCCTGTGCAAGCCCAAGAGTCTGTTTGGTTGCTCAGTGAAATGACCCCAATTAAACCACAACCAGTGTGCACACAAAATCAGGTAATGAGCAGGCAGAGGTGGGAGACTTCCTCTTTTGGCAGGAATACTGATTTATGCTGACTTGAAAGTGATTGCAAAACCATAATGTGAGATTTAAAGCTCCAGGAAACCAAACACTGCAAGTGGATCAAAAGGAAATAGTAGCAGAAGTCACTGTATCTTATGCTACTCTGACCTTAGTGTAAACTTTTGTGAGGGGTGTATGAAAGATCTGCTTGCTGATTTGATCTTATTTCTCATTTGCCTGTAGTGAAATTAATTATTCACGATAAATCTTTTCCCAAATTTTGAGTATTTTTACTTAGCCAGTAGACAGTATGTACACAAAGAATAAGAAACAACAAAATGACAAGATGATAAGGCAATTCTTTCTGTTCCTCTTATGCAAGACACTTTCTTGCTCTGACTGTGGTCTCTTGGTCAGGGAGTGACAGTGTTTTGGGACTCTGCTGCTCCTTCCAAAAGAGTGCAGGAGTAACATCATTTTGTTGTTTCCACCAACATTAAATGTTAGTGCTCAGCACATCAGCACATTGCCATGAAAGTAGTGAGGCAATGGAACAGGTTGCCCAGAGAAGCTGTGGATGCCCCATGCCTGGAAGAAATTTTATCCCAAGCTCTAGTTCTTTTTTGACAGTTTATTGTTGCAGTGCCAGGTCACTTAGGGAAGGGAGAGGAATCAAAACTGATGGGAAAAAATGGTGAGCATCATGTAGAAGACCAGGGGAAAAATAGGAGAACAGCTGAAAAGGAAGTTCAGAGAGGACCTTTTTTTTCACCACCACTTACTTGAAGGATTAAGAAATTCTTCAGCAGCACCACTGACCTGACTTATGTTCACAGAGCACGCTGTCCTGTAAATTGCTGAACACTGTCTATTCCTGTTAACATCAATTTTCAGGTTAGGGTCCTTGTAACTTACCAGTGACATCAGCTGTGGAAATTCAACTCCTGTGGTTTCATCAAGAGGAAGCTTGAGGAATTACTTTCTGGCAGGATGTTAAGCTCTTGACAAGTCTGGCAACAGTAGTTGTTCTGCTTTTGTGTTTATCTTCCAAAAAGGCATGAGATTATGTGGCTGAGGGAGTTTGCAGTGTCAGTGCATTAGTTTTCCAGGCAGCAAATGTAATACTTAAGTGTTCAAAGATTAGTTTCTTTGGAAACAGACAGCAAAAGATGTAGAAGCCAAAAATAATTTTGATAAGCACATATCATATTATCTTGGTAGTGAAATTTATGTTGCCTTTTTAGATGCCCTGTGCTTAAACTCCACGAAATACCTGATTCTGGATTGGAACTGGAGAGATCAAAAACTAAGGAGAATGATGGACATCCCTGAGGTATTGTATAAGCACCTGTATATGTTATGTTCTGTGTATTAAGTACTTTTGTTGGTAGCTCTCAGGTCTTGGTCAGTAAAGTTTTCTTTCTGTAAAGCTGTCTTCAGTGGTAAAGGAACACAAAGAAGTTCACATTGACTGAGAAGTCTGTACTCACACATCTCAAAATTATCTCCTGAAAAATAATTTTTCCTTTATTGTTGCAAGTCACAGCTGTGACTTCCATGGTTGTGCTTTGAGTTTCCCCTGTGTATGCTCGATGGATATTCTACCTGTGGGAATTCTGCCCAGGAATTCCCTCAGCAGGAGGGCTTTGTACAGAGTCCTAGACCTCGACAAATGAGAGAGATGGGCATCACCAACTGTGTGAAATTTAGCAAAGGGAAGTGCTGGATTCTGCACCTGGAATGGGGCATCCTGGATGTACAGACAGACTGGGGAATGAGACAGTGGAAAGCAGCACCATGGAAAGGGATCTGAGGGTCCTAGTCGATGGAAAGTTGAATCTGAGCCAGCAGTGCCCTGGAGCCAGAAGGGCCAACCCTGTCCTGGGGGCATCAGGCCCAGCATCACAGCCGGGCAGGGGAGGGGACTGTCCTGCTCTGCTCTGAGCTGGGGCGGCCTCACCTGGAATATTGTGTGTAGTTCTGGTCACAGCATAAGAAGGGTATAAAGCTGTTAGAGAGTGTGCAAAGCAGAGTAATGAGGATGGAGAAGGCCTTGAGGGGAAGCCATAGGAGGAGGGGCTGAGGTCACTTGTGCTGTTCAGCCTCGAGAAGTGGAGGCTGAGGACAGACCTCACTGCAGTTAGAAATTCCTTGTGAGGGGGAGAGGAGGGGTAGGCGCTGATCTCTGTGGTGACCAGTGGCAGGTCTTGTGGGAGTGGCCTGAAGTTGTATCAGGGGAGGTTTAAGTTGGGTATTAGGATTTTCATCCAGAGGGTGGTTGGGCACTGGAACAGGCTCCCCAGAGATGTGGTCACAGCACCAAGCCTGACAGATTTGAAGTGTTTGGACAACGCTCTCAGGCACAGGGTGTGACTCTTGGGGTGTCCTGTGCAGGGCCAGGATTTGGACTTGACCCTTAGGGTCCCTTCCAACTCAGCATATACTGTGATCAGTGAAAACTTTCCTGAAAAACTAATCAAAACTATAGCCAAATGTCTATGTTTCTCCACCTGAGAGCAAGATAACATCATATAAGTAAATCTACACAGTTCTCTTGTTTTTTTCTTTTCTTTCTTGTCTTTTTTTTTCTTTTTTGTTTCTTTTGACAAAAAGTAGAGTACAAATAACTTAGACCCATCCATCACTTTTACACTCTTTCTAAGATAATTCCCAATTCTTTCCAGTTCTGTAATCCAGCTTTTATATTTCTTGCTGTAACAAGCTATGTTTACCATTTGTTATGAGACATCACCTATTTCTAGCCAGATGAAGAGGCAGTTTCCTCTATTAGTGTTTGTTAGAAAGTTCCCAATTTCCTGCGCAGTGTCTTGAGGTTTTGTGCATTTAGAGCAGGCCCATATATGAAAGGAATCTCCAGAGAAAAGGACTTCTTTTGCATATAAACATTAAGCTGTTTCACAAGTGAAACAAATTATCAATCATTAATCCATCTATGTACTTGTCTAAGTATTTGAATGTGCTGCATTTTACAACCCCACATACACAAAACAAAAAAAAAATACATTGAAGAAATTAAGTAGCAAAAAAACCCTGCCTTTGCTTTTTTGGTGGCAAGGAGGCTCCCTCTTGTGGCTAATACATAAGGCTTTTTTTTATGGTGCTTGCACTTATCTGTAAGTTTTGTAAAGAATAGAAAACGTGAAATCACAGACAGTACAGTATAAAATCAGAGGCAGTACAAAAGGTGTTGATGGCAGTGGGATGGATTTTTTAAGTCATCTAAAGTCAACATCAATAAAGTAGACCATAGGTGATCCACCTCCAAAAAATGAAGATTATGTTGCCACTATTTCATTTTGGGCTATTGCAAAGCTCAAGTATACCTTTCAGCTGACTCATAGTAGTTCTGTGTGTCTGTCTAGAAATATAGGCCAAATGTTATGACTCCAAGTCTATTTTATTAAGGCAAAATCCTAAGGCTGTCTTAGCATAAAAAGTTAAAGCTTAGTTGAAGTTAAATCCAGGTAGGTAAGAACACTGGACCACCATATATTGTGTTAGGATAAGCAATAGCTATTTATGTGTGATTACAGGATAGTGAATATATAATTACAGAAAAGTCTTCAAACTGCTCTTGGCTTATGGAACACATCATAAAGGAAGGTTTTTGACATCTTGAGCTTTATAAGTAGAGTATTTTGCAGGTATTTATCCCACTGCAGACATCAGGCAGATTTCTTAAAGTTATGTATAAGGAATGTCAACAGCAAAAGATACCCAAATAATGTTTTGGTGGTAAGGCATCTTAACATATAAACCAATGGGATGTTCTAGCAACTTGTGGGCTTCAAATATGGAAAAATTTGTCCTAGTCAGCTTTTCTAATTGTATAGAAAAATGTCAAATACATGCTATGAATAGTCATAAGTTTTCACAGAGAGAGGAAAGAGAGTACCAAATACAATTTAAAGAATTAGCTGTTTGATGAAACAACCATCATTGTTGTTTCATCAAATTATAACTAAAATTGTTGTTTCATCAAATTATAACTAAAATTTCTTTCACGGGAGGAAAACTTGTACACTTAAAGTCAGAAACTCAGCATACTGGCCTATTTTCAGTGCAAACCTCAATTATCAATAATTTCTTTGCATACTTAAGGTGCAACATTGCTGAATTTCGTTGTGTTTAAACCAGAAAGCAAGAACAACTGGAAGCACGTGTCCATTGAACTTGCTGTTTTGGTAGTCGCCTGATGTTCAGTGGAGAATTATGTACACAGAATTATATTTCTATTCTAGTAATATATTATAATAATATATAATATTATTATATATTTATTAAAATATTATATTTATATTCTAATAAATATATGAATTTAAAAACACATGGATCTTTCCACATGGCAGTTCTGTATACCATCATGTCCTCACAAGGGATGGTGCCCTGATCCACTGCTCTGTCAGCCCCCTCAACATCTCATTAGTTAATGCTTCTGGAATTTTTCATTCTCTGTTTCTGTGTCTCCCACTTCATTCATCCCAAACAATGGAGAGAGAGGGAGATGAAACCTCCCAAAGAAACCACAGGAGGAGTGAATGAGTTTATCAGACTTTGTCTTGGCACACTGGAATAGAAATAAAGCATAAAGTTGTAAATCAAAATGGATTCTATAATTTTTGGTCTGAGCAAAGGACAAGCTTTCTGCTTTGAAAGCTTTTTGAACACAGGTTGGTGGCAATACAGAGCTGTCTCAACTCCGCTAGTTGCTTGTTCCTAAAATTCAAATGAAGTTGTTTTTTTTTTTAACCAAAACCCAATACTGTATTGTCTGCAAATAATACACACACCAAGCCTTCAGTAAATTTGAAAATACTCTGTTTGAGTTTCAGACTTCATGAAAATAAACGGTTTGTGAGAAATGGGCTTGTGATAGAAAGACAACTGTGTTCACCTTCATGTAGCACATCCAGTCTGAAATTGAGGCTGGCTGGGCTTTCTTGCATCATTTATTCCTCTGCAAAGTGGAGGCATGAAAGAATGTAATCCTGAGAGAAAACCTGCAAACAAGTGATTTGTAAGTGGTAAGAGGGAACTATAAGGAAACTCTGGACTAACCATGATGATAAAGAATCTTGTGTTCCCTCTGAAATATGTAGTCAATATTTACTCTGTAATATATTTGTTTTATCTTTAGATAAGCCATAAGCCACAGTCGTACCAGTGTCATAAAACAAAGTACTTTGTACACAACACAGGCAGACCTGACCTTCATGCTCACTTTCATTCAGGTGTCCCAGACACAGACAGGGCTGTGCCTGTTGCACTGCCCTTGATCTGCTTTATGCCAGTTGTTACTCTGGAGAGTTCTGTAGGGATTCTGTAGCCCAGGATGGGTCTTTTGCTGTGGTGTGCTTTATCAACAATGCCAATGAAATCCTTTCTGTAGCCATGTGAAATGGGACTTCAGGGCTGCAGGACAAATGATTGGTATTTTAAAAACTGAAAATGTTCTAGAGGACCTTGTATAGGAATCTCTTCTTTAATTTCTAGTCCTATACTTAGGTGCCTGAGTAAATAAATAATGGTGTCATTATCAGTAACTTTTTATGCTTCCTTTGATTTTTGTTTTCTTCAGATAAAGAAAGAAACAATTGATCTACTGGAGAAGAGTATTATAAAGCTGTGCAGAGATGGGTCTGTGAAGCTGGGACTCTTTTAATGAGTTTACCAACAAGGAAGTAATTTGCAGCTGCATTTTACTATTATCCTGCCTGCAACTGAATTTTGACTTTTCACATGTCTCAATACAGAAGGCACATTGCAACTTTATCTGAGTTTTCTTTTAATAAAAACCCAGAAGTTTTGTTTGTAGTTCTAGTATTATTTTTATTGCAGTTACAATGTCATATGGAAATCAGAGTTACACTGCTTTCACCTGCTAGATCTACTACTACGTGTCACTAGTAAGACTTTGAAGATGAGCAAATATGAATGTGAAAGTCTTTGCACAGCTCAGTTTTCTGTTCCCTCCTGTGCTGTCCTAAGTGAGACATGTATTTTGCTCATGAGAATGGTAATCTACTTGCTCTTGGGGGGGGGGGGGTTCTTTGAAAAAGTTGTATGAATTTCAGTAGCATGTTAAAAAGGTATTTTTCATCTATCTGTTCTAGAGCTGGCCAAATGCTGCTTTTTGCACTTACGTGATAAATTACCTGTGTATTATACTGAGATTTTATTTTGGTTAAACTGTTGAAGTGTGCAAAAAGTATTCTTGTATTTGTCCATTTAAATTAAAATGAGGTGATCTCTGGGTGATTCTTTTGTCATTGCAGATAATAGGGAATGGATGGATTCTTTTTCAGAGAACTAGATGAACAGAGATGAGGAAATCACCTTGGAAAGTATTTGATCCAAAGTATTTCCAAGTACCTTGGAAAGCCATTGATCCAAATTGGATAATTTAAAAGTGAGTTGTCCTTCTATGATAGAGAACACACAACCTTTTTACAACTTTTAATTGCATCTAAGTTAATAGTAATGAATGTAATAGGTTAAGAAAATTGGTTTGGGCTTCCAAAGCCATGTTCTTTGTCCAGTGCTGTCCAGTGCTGTCCTCCCCAGTGGAATCCAGTGCAACTGGAGTAGAAGTCCTTTCCTTGTATGCCATGCCTGTTAGCTGGGCAGCTATCTATGTGAAGGGAGAAGAAATAATGCATCGGAAATTACACAGAAATTCCAGTATAGCTGCCAGTATCCCTGCAAATGAATAAGTCATAACAAATCCTAATGAGCTGTGGAGCAGGAAAAATATATCTAAGTTTTTCCAGGAGGAATGAACTGGACACCCTGATCAAAGTACACAATCACTTGATTGGTACAAGCTGATCATGGGGATCCAGGCACAAATACAGAAAACAAGGAAGAGAGAGATCTAGTTAATAAGTAATTCCTCACCATAATGCAAGTTTGAACAACGAATACAGTCTCCCAGCAATAAAGACTATCTCAGCTGAAACACTCTCCAGCACAAGGACATTACTCCTTTCTCTCACCAAGAAGAAAATGAAAAACAAGACAAATGCTCTTCCCAGAGAAGGAGAAGTCCAGCCTTCCAGGTGTCCAGATAACAGTGCATTCAAACAGCAGAGGCTGCCAGCTTGGAAGCCCCAGCTCACCATTGCATCTGTGCTCTCCAGCTTCTTTCTGACAGGGGCATTCTGCCTCACTGTGGGAGTCTGCCTTGTCCTGTCTGCAAACAGCGTCAGAGAAATACAGGTTGGTTTGGGAGTGGTGTTCTTTCATATTCTGTAAAGTAGAAACCAGGCCAGGTTTGGAGAGAAAAGACTTTGAATTTTTGCTTTTGAATAAAGATTATAGCAATGGCTTTATGCCTTGGACATGTGTCCTACAGCTGGTATTCCTGTGAAAATCTTCAGAGGCAGTCAGTAATCAATAAATCAGAGCACTGGGTGATTAACTGGATGGTAATATCTGAAATATGGGTGATAATTACTGGCACTTGCTGCTAATACCAAAATTTTATCATTATCTTCTGGGGTTTTGAAGGGAAATAAGCAAATCCCTGAGAGAGTGTTTGACACTATAAGAACATACGTGTTTGCTGGGCTAAATCTTGAAATACAGGGAGCCCTAATGTTTAAATCCCTCCTGCAGAAAAGGTTAATCAGACCTGTGGTGTACTCCTATTTGGAGCCAACACTCAGCACTACACCCAGGCTGTTCAGCAGGGCTGGGCCATGATGCATGTGGGGATTTGTCAAGCATTACTTGGTCAGCCAGACCAAGGTGCAGGAGTGTCCTTCTCTCAGCACTCCTTTGCTGAGAAGCAGACGTGAAAGTTCTGCAACATCAAAAGGCTTTAAACCAGCTTTAAAATAGGGATAAATTTTGTGGTTGTTCATTGAGGCCAAGTCCTCACTCTGCCTCTTCATTTTCAACAAAGTTTTTGGCAGTCCTTGGTCACTTAGAAGAGAACAGCTCTAAGAAGGCTTGGACCTAAAACACTAAACTTTTCCTATGAGCATGTCCTTTGTTACAATATATTTGCTTTCGCTTCTCTGACAGATAGATTATTCAGATAAATGCTCAGATTGTACAAAGCTCCGTGAAAATTCCTCTAACTGGAATAAGGAATGCCACTGTTCTATTAATTTCACGCTAAAGGAAGATATATTGGTAAGTGAGTGCAAAAACCAACTCAGGTTGCTGCGTACCACCTGTTACTTATATCCCTAAATTATAAAAGACAGTAAATCTGTTCTGTAGAGCTCCTGACTAAATTTGCTTTGAACTTTTTCAGAACATGAAATGCTCAAAATTTTACACTTTTATCTTTGTTGTTCATTTTGGTATTTATAATCAAGACCAGGCCCTTTGGTTGGGAGATGCCCAAGGAGAAGAAGGGGGTGGAGGAAATGGTGTTTGATTGTGGAGGTGACCTCTCTCTGTCTCTCTCTGAGTCAGAGGCAAAGCTTTGCCCTTGGCCTGGGATTGGTTGTTGCTGCCCTGCTAAGCTCTCAAATGAGAAGGAAATCTGAAGCTCTGACCACTTTACATAAGTAGACCCCTGCAGTCATTTTTACAAGGGTTGTGCTGCTAATCCCCAAGGTCCTTGAAATAATTCAGGTCTAGCAATGTGATTCTAAAGTTTCTTTTGGAAAAAGTATCCTTTGTTTCATTCCTTAAACTACAAGGTTTTGTTGTTGAGACTGTTAAAATGCTTCATGTTCTGCCAAAGAGATCTTGTACTTAGTACTGAATAAATGATCCCTTAAAATGACAGTGCAATTTAAAGTCATTTTAGGATTCCTCAGTATTGAGGAGGCTGTTAAAATACTTTGTAATTCTTCAGATTACAGTGATGTTTGAGATGAGAAGTTAATTTCACTGAGTAGTGGGTTTTTTATAGTTGCATAATTACCTTTCATGCATGATTTACCTGCCCAGCATTCTTCTTGTAATTTGAAGGTTTTTGTGTACCTTCTTTTATGGAAAATGAGTGTCTGTCTCTGCAATATGATTCATAGTCATTCCAAGTTCATGGCCAGCCATGCCATCTTGAGTAAGATAATTATCAGGCATTTTTCTTTTAGGTTTTGTTTGGTGATTTAAATTATGTTTAATTTTGTGCCAAAACATAAAAACTTACAGTTAGGGTAAAGATTAGATTCTAGCCTGTGACTGCTGTATTGCTTAGGGTGTAGTTACAGACATTTTAATATAAGTACTCTCTTCCCCTCTTTTTTAGCAAGTAGTAGGATTTCTTATTGCCTTCATGAACTCTCCTTATTGAAGGGATTTATCCTTGGATTCTAGGGTGATGTTTTTATGTACTATGGTCTGCAAAACTTCTATCAAAACCACCGTCGATACGTGATATCAAGAAGTGACGCGCAACTATTGGGCCGAAGTGTAAATGTAAGTTTTCTTTTTCTGTTGTGAGATCAGCAGCACTCCCAGCAGGTGTGCCTTTGACCACATGGAGAGCCAACTAGGCAGAGCCATAAGTGTGTTTAGGTGGCTCTAGGAAATAATAAAGTACAGATTTTCAGTGTTTGGTCCTGGCTTTTATGCTTGTTGGGGCTATTATGCCTAATAAGTTAATAAGAGAGGAAGGTTGAAGGGGGTGGGGGGTAAATAAAAGATGTCAGTTCTGTATTGCAGTTCTCAAACCTGCACCTTGTAGTGCTGATTAAAAATACGCTGTCTTTTTCAAATAAAGATACAGAAAGATCTCCTTCTTGTGTTGTCAGTCTTCTTAGCCAGAAGTGTTTTAAGCTGTGCTAAGGAATTAAGTTAGTCCCTAGCTAGGGCTAGAGAATTAAGTTATTCTAAGTCTTTCATTTTGCCATCTGGCTTTGGAAGCAGGCAAGGAGCAGGAAATGGTTAGTTCTGAAATAAGTGATCATATAGCATTCTAAGTATGCAATCCAGAAGTCTGAAGAGGGAGTAGACAGCATCACCTGCAGCAGACCTCCAGGAAACTGGAGAATGCAATCATGGCATTCAGGTTCTTTTACTTACAAATCTAAAGCATATTTTCTTTGGCTTAAAAGTAGTATTTCTTAATATACACATAGTCCACATGTCCTTTCAGTATATATGATGGTTGTGCCATGGTAATCTGTTGTTTCTATAAAGTGCTTCTTACAACTCTAAAGACATGTTCCTCATTTCTATGAAACGCTTCTTAAAACTCTCCAGGTGTCCTGTCAGCTTGTTTGTTTGCATCCAATGCAGCTGCTTTTGGCTTTTGTGCCAATCAGATACACAGCTCATTTGACTTACTTGAAATTTGTTTCTATGTTGAAACCCTGAAGATTTATAGTTTCTTATAAAATGGGGTAGGAAAGATGTGGTAAAGCTGAGGTGGACTTCTGTTTTTCATTCTGGATCTTCATACATCAAGATTTGGCCTTGTTGTCCTGCAGTAATTTGGCCAACTACATCTGCTGTTCTCCAGCACTAATTCAGCCCAGGTCAGAATTAAAAAGAAGGTAAAAGAAGATGTTCTAGGGTAAGCCAAGGCTTCACTGGAACATTTTCAGTTGTAGCCATTTTACAATAGCAGATCCCCAAACCTGTTTTTTATAGTCTGGAGCTTGCAATCAGTAGTAGAATTTGGTGAAGACCTTAAGTTTCTGTGCCTAGATATGGAAGGTGTTCCTGAACTGCAGACCCATTTGATGTCTCTCTAATGTGACCAAAAGGTACTGGAGACTTAATTGTACAGTGGCTTTTCAGAAGAAGGCATGGGAGGACACCAATTAAAACCAAACCCCAGGTCTGTGCCTGATTGTTGTGTGACCTTGAATGCAGATCCAGAGGAGCTACTGCACGCCCTTCAGCACCTACAGGAACGGGACCCCGATGGCGCCGTGCGGGGCCATTGCCAACAGCATGTTCAATGGTACGTGGGGCCTTCCTCTGCCCCTTCCTGATTTCCTCTTGAAACTATTCCCTTACCTCAGGCCAGGGCAGACCTGGTACTGCAAGGCCTCTACTTTCTCTCATAAAAAGCCTTTGTTTGGTTGTGCTCCTCTGGTGAACGTGAGGCTCTGCTTCCTACTGTTTAGTAACTTGGCCCTTTTTTGGAAACTGAGGGAGATTTCTCATTTTCTAAGGCTCTCTTCCATGTGAGTGTACGGCAGGAGTGAGGAATTTAGGCCCTCCTGAAATAACGAACAAGGATACAACAGATTTCATGTACTTCCTTGCTGTAAAGCACATTCCTGTACAGTGATGGGAGAGCCCAGATTCTGCCTTCCCACAATCATGTTCTTAGAAGGAGGGTGTCATGGTTTTGGTTTGCTAATTTGAGATTTCTTGGCTAGAATAGTCTTTCTTCAGTTCACTTAGGGAGAGAAGTCTCTCTTGTTACTGTTATGGAGGATTCTCTGCAAGAGTACAGTTCTCTCTTGGCACTCTCCACAAATAGCAACCGCCTGGGGAAATCTGCAATCGTGAGCTCCCTCCCATTTTCCACAAGCTTTTCCCACAGCTGTGTTTATGGGCGATGTCAACTTACGGGGTACTGTTTTAAAGACGAGCTGTTTAAAGGCAAAGGTTCACATTTCTGTATCTGAAATCATCTTCTTCCTGGGAGCACAGGATCTTCATCACTCTTCTCTCTTTCTCTGTTCAAACTTCTCATAGTATCACAGCTACTTTAACTGCTTACTTTAGCATGGAGGCCTTTGCGCCATATCTACAATTTGGACGCTTTCATGTCCCCATACTTTCATGTGGGAAAAAGAGTCTTTTCTCCATAAAATGTGCTCAAAAGCACATTCTTATACAGTGATGGGAGAGCCCAGATTCTGCCTTCCCACAATCATGTTCTTAGAAGGAGGGACTCTACACATTCTCCGCATTACTTTGGATCTACCCAGTTTCATTTTTGTTCTAGAATGCTGGAAGCATACATAGTCTTAATTTGATCCTGGATTTGATTTTTGTAGTAATCTAGTGGCCATAATCTGTTTCTGAATACACTTGGGAGATTTCAGAATGTATCTTTGGAAGGAAAAGCAACAAAAACCTACAGACTTTTCTCCACTACCCCATCTTTTATGTCTTCCAATTTCTACCACTCCTTGCTCTCACCCTTTTTTAACCTGTTCCATGGAGCAGGTTTTGAGAAGGCAGCAGCTCTTTCCAAGCAGCTGCGCCACCCACACCAGGGAACTTGTGAAAGCCAGTTGCATTCAGTAACTTCTAGATCTATTTGATTTTTGTCTGCCTGCTTACCCACCTGCTGCTGGAGGTGGGATTTACTGGGCTGGGCTCAGACCTAGGCCAGCAGAGCCCAGCTGTGTGCAGCCCACGCTGTGTGCAGCCCACACTGTTCTGGAGCATGTGAGGGAGAGTCAAGACAAGCAACTGAGCAGGCAGAGCTCAAAGCATTGCAATTCCTGTTAATGAAGTGGTGATAAATAGCTGGGGATGTGGTGGGCCACAGAATGATCATTTCTCAGAAGACTCTGTCTGAGCTTTATGGAGCTGCATGAACACAGGTTTTGTAGAAGAAAATAAGTATGTTTTCACTGATGCCTATGCAGCTGAGTTGTGCTTTTTGTGTCTCCTAAAAGGCAACTTATCCCCATCTGTATTGTCTGATTGTACCTGCCCATCATCCCATTGGCTGCCTAGGCATTTACGGAGCTGTTAATGCATCCTATAATGTTTTTGCCTTATGTTAAACTAATCTATCTAGGAAAATAGTAATGGATAAAAACAAGTGCTGTTCTCCCACTGAAACTGGATGGCATGGTTAGGCACAATTTTAACGAAATGGTTTTTGATTGAAGAAGGTGTTTGTGTCCAAGTTGGTAAGCAAGCTCTAACTGGCAGAAAACTAAAGCAATTTTTTTTTTTTCCAAAGGACTGGATTCCCTTGATTGTGCTTTTATCTCTACCCTAGTCCCTGAAAACACATCATGTATAGCAAAGTTTTGGGACAACTGTCAAAGAAATTCTAGGGGAAGCTAGCTGGGACAGTAACTTCTGTAACTAGCTAGAGAGCTCAGAAAGTGATTTGCAAAGAAGGTAGTCCCACAGGAGTTGATGGACATGATAAGCATTACAACATACACAGGGATTAGTAGGAAATGTTCAGTCTTTAAAACTTCAGTAGTTCCAAGACTTTGGTACCTTAGTTCTTCTTGTGAAATGTGCAGTGCTCCATACACACCCAGGATGTTCAGGTTTTCTATCCACTTGAAAGTTGCTTGAAATGTGCCTTTTTTTTTTTTTTGGTTAATCATGCTGGCAATTAGAATGACTGTCTTTGACTCACAGATGTTGCTTTTTTGTGTTCCCTGCAGATACTATTGATCTGTTTTACAATTATAACTCATCTGTGATTCAAGTGCCACTGCTGAAGACTGGAAACAGTTGGTGGACAGATAAAAATGTGAAATTTCGCAATCCTGAATCATACAATCTCTCTTCTGCATTTGCAGGTAGGAATGGTTCTGCTGGTGGTCCTTATTTTTCAATGTCTTCCCCTATCTCCGCTTCATATGTCTCCTATTGTCAGAAAAATCACCTAGAAAAATCACCTTTGGGAGAAATAGCAAGAAAGCAAGTTGAAGAAGCAGGGTTTAGAGGGTGACTGATAGCAGAAGGCACATTTAGCCAAAATACCACCTTTTAACTTTTTTAATCAGTGACCACAGAAATTGAGAGAAAATGGTTTTGGAAGACTGAAGTTAGCCCACATCAACACCTTCTTTATAGTTTCTTGTAGTGTTTAATCTGTCCAGAGAAAGCAGGGAATCAGTTGCTTGCTTTTTTTTTTTTTTTTTTTTTTTTTCCTGTTGAAAACATCCATGAAGGAGAATTGCATGTCCCATCTTTCCTTCATGCCTTTGCAGATTCTTGGGCAGTTGTGAGACATGAGAGGCTGCCTTTGTCACTAATTCTTTCAGACTTGTTTCCTAGGGCTATTTCCTTGTTATGGTTGATCTCTATTGAACTGGGGCTAAAAGCTGCCAGTTGTGGATCAGGGCAGTGCTGAGCTGGGTGCAATATGCAAGAGCTAATGATCTAAGTCATTTTCATGGGACTGATTCTAAATGTCGTAGGCTGTGCCATTAGGCTGCAAAAAGGTGCCTTTCTGGTTGTACAGGAATATATTAATGTGTAAAAATGAAGGCAAGCTCCTCATTATAGAGAACATATTGCTTGCTGAAGAGACAAGAATCCAGAATAAACAGTATTTTCACTTGTGCAAGTCACTTTGTTTCTCCTGTGCTTGAAGGCTCTAATGTGTAGCAGCCCCTGGGTACTGTTAAACTGTTAATTTGTGTTTGAGGTGAGTGGACATGCTTGGAGATGCTGATGTCTGGCATATATATAATTTTGGACAGTGTCTAATGTCTCTTTCACAGCTCATATTCTGTGTTGGTTGTGTGAGGCCCAGAATCTCAGCAACCACAGTTTTTACTGACAGTGTCTTTCCTGCTTTGTCTCTCTGTGACCAGGGACAGCCAGACCTCCTTACTGGCAGAAACCAGTGTACCTGTTAGATGAGGAAGATGAGAGGAACAATGGTTATGTGAACGATGACTTCATTATCTGGATGCGAGTGTCGGCCTTTGCAACGTTCAGGAATCTCTACCGGCGTGTCAGACGGGTTCAGCGCTTCACAGAGGGCCTGCCAGCAGGGAATTACACCTTCCATATTTCCTACAGTATCCTTTCATATTCCCTAAGGCTCCTAGACAGTTACAGTGACATGGAAGCCAATAGGATTTGTGTGATGAACTGGCAAAGAAGCGGTGCAGAACAACCCTGTGTCAAGAGAGCTGTCGAGGGATTTGGGCCATGTCCTGACTGACAAGAGCTTTTGTGCTGGTGCAACTGCCCCCTCACAGCCAACAGTGGGAACTCTGCTGACTAAACCATTCCTTTTGTCAGCAGGAGTTATGTCAACATGACCATAAATTTCTCTTCTTTTTCAACTGATAGAAATGGGGTTATAAATGTTCTGTCATGGTTCTGTTCTGAAAGCTTCAACGGGAGAGATGAAAGGTAAACTCATATAACATTCTGGCTACAACATATTAAGTAGAGCTGAGCATTTACCCTCACAGAGACTATGTGGATTATGATGATAAGCTTCCCAAAAGGCCCATTTTCAACTGAGCTTTCATAGCAAATTAATGCAGTAGCTTTCCTATAAATTATGAATCTGAAATTTACAATGTTTTGAAAAAGGAAGTATTTCCACATGCACACAAAGACTGTATCTAAAATAACTGGATTTCTTACCACCAGCTGCCTACCACCTCCCAAAGACCAGCTGGGTTTTTGGATCCAGAACAGCAGAAACATCACCAATAAGTTAAAGGAGTTTTGGCAGCAAATGCAGACCTCAAAACTCTTTGTGCCTTGGAAAGCTTTTTGAGCATTTAACCACTACTTTCTCTTCTCCTGGAAATAATGTACACTTTGTTAGTGAAATCTTAACATTCTTCTCTCAGATTTCCCTGTTACCATGTTCAAGGGGAGGAAGCATGTGATTCTTTCAACCGTGGTGTGGAGCGGCGGAAGTAACCCATTCCTGGGAATTGCCTACCTGGTTTCTGGCACAGCAGCAACCCTGACAGGTTTTGTCATAACTGGCATCCACTTAAAGCTCAGGAAAAAGAAAACATACTTTCAGAAGCAATAAGGTTCACCTTTCTGAACAAAGACAGAAGTGTGCAGTGAACAAAGAAGGTGCAGCATAGACCTTCCAGTCTTTCCTCTGAGCTCTGGACCATTTTCAGTGTCAGGTTTGGTGAATGCAAGCAAACTGAGGAGCAGGGCTAGTCCATCATCTGAAACCAAACTTACCTGTGGTGCCATTCTCATTAATGTACTTGTGAGCCTAAATTTGTTTCCTAGGAAACTTGTAGTGAGATGAGCTTCAAACAGCAGATAGCGCAGCAGATTAGGATTGCAATGGCAAAGAAATTATATGGTACCAATGTCTGGCCAGAAGTCAGGGTCCATATTAATTTCTTACTCAGCCCATAATTCAGACAACATTTCTCTTAACTGGAATGGAGCTTTGGATGGGTAAAACAAGAAGTCTTGATCCAACAAAAAGCTTGAGTAGGTAGACCTTATTGCTAAAATCTGCTTGTGGGCCACATACATGTGCTTAATGGCTCGGCTTGGGTTTTATATACCTTTTTCAGCTATGCTGAGAAAGTAACCAGTTTAAATCAGTGCATTCACTCCAGTTTGACACCTGATTTGTGGTTGACTACAGGGCATTTATCAGGAGTTCAGAGTTTGTTTAGACAAAGTTTATTTGATTTATCTAGCAGATGAAAGCTAGAGGGCATCCAATCATTTATTTGCATTTTTTAAAATTATGGTTCAATAGAAATCCTAAATGAAAAGCTCCTTTAATGCAAAATATTTTAGCAGAACCATCTACCTAATTTAAGTATTAGGCCAAAATTGCACTCCTACCTATCCCATGTGAAAGTTCACAAGTTCTTACATGACACGGAATGAGAATGATAATTTATTGTCAATAAAAAACAAAGCACCAGAAAATCTGTCAATTTTAAGTGAACACTGCAGTTCATGAATAGGTTCATCAATTTTTATATTTCATGTTCAAAATTTCACACATTTAGGACTTACTTCTAGTCTCACAAAATGAAGGAACAGCACTGAAGAATTTAGGTCAAGCGTACCATGGTAGGTGAATTTTTTTAATAGTTGTTCTGTTGTAAAAGTGCAAGTGGAATAAAACACTTTCAGTTACTTTCATAAGTATTTTGTGTGCCTTGCACCTTGCATCTCTCCTAAAAAGCCTTCTCACTAGAACAAGAAAGAAATCACAGACTGGAGCAGGAGAAAGGGATGTGGCACAGGGAGCCTGCAAGCTGAAATAAATAGGGCAGGAGATCTTTCTCCTTTTTAATGCCTTTGTTAAAAAGAATCAGCTCAGGTGGGGAGAAACTGACAGGTCGCACCCACGCCGCAGTTAATCAGCCAGGGTAATCACCAACCATTAACAGGTGATTGTAGAAAAACTCTCAACAATAGGTGGCTGCAACATGAAGCTAACTTAACAGCAATTGGTTCAACTTGTTTTAACTCTGCAACCTTAAAAAAAATAGATAACTTTTTACTCATAACACAAGCCACTGTCAAGGCATCTGCTTTTGGGTGTCTGGGGCTGGGTATCTGGTGACCTGTGGCAGATGGCCCCTGCTGAAGGGGTTGGCAGCACAGAGGGTGCAGTTGCCTTGAAGTTCCGCTTTGAAGCTGAGCCATGAGCAGCAGAAGGAACTAGAGCAGCTCTAGTTCCCAGCCCAGCCTGGGAGGACGGTCCTGCCCCACCGGTGCTTTGTTGTGCTGACCAGGAACGGTGCCTGTCCCCTCTGCTCTTCCTGCTCGCGGCCAGTCACCTCCATCCTGAAGCTGTCGAAACAGGGTTCCTGCGCCTTGCAGCTGGATCTGCCAGGAGCTGTGGCAGAATCCCACCTCTCACTGGGCTGGACAAGACAGAGCATAAAGCAGGGCATACAACAATGCTTAAGGTCGTTAGTCTAAATCACTTTTAACAGTGGGACATGCTCCTAAATCTTTCAGTCCTTTTGAAAATGTAATTCCATGCCGCTCTCTGGAAAGCCCTGATGGGATTTCGTGACAAAGCTGAACTTAGGTTTTCTGGCTCCTAGCAGACCATGGGAACTTCTTCATTTTTCTCTTTCTCTTTATTTTTTATGGGTTTTTTTTTCATTGTCTGAGCAACTGACTTTCAAGAAATGATAGGGTGGTTAAGTCATGATGCAGTTATCACTGATTTCATTTTTTCATTAAGTATCTGGTAAAAAAGTTAGTAAAAGGAGACTGAATAATGAGGTATGTATTTCAGTGAGTCAGTGTCTACCAGGAAAAAAGTTATCTAGAAAACATAGCCCAGCAAGTAGTGTTTGCCCATTATCTCCAAGAGGTTTTTGCAGGAACCTCTTCTCTTGAAATGTAGATTGTCTTCAAACCCCTCCATAGAGAAGACCTGTCTTCAAACAAGTCTTTCTGTTTTTCCAGAAGTTGTTTATAAACCCTGTTATAAATGAAAAATAGCCAGTTTTAGTAAAAAAATTAAAATTTATTTCGCTACCGTAATACAGTCCCGACAGCCACCAATCAATCGGACAGCATACCACCCCCGGACAGTGAGCTGGGTGGACGTGAATTTGGCCTCTATCGCACCAAATTCCCCTCGTCCACACTGGCTGCTCCCAGGTCGTGGTTCTTATACTTTTTAATTCGTCCGCTGATGGAGAAGGAAGACTTGCACACCAGATGATAGTTTTGCCATCCTGCCACTGTTTCACTATTCTGCCGTGGTTTTTCCATCCTGAGGAAAGATTTCTCCCCCCCTCCATGTACCAATAGTCTGTTTCATACTCATATATATTTTATACATCTTTTATTTCCATTAATTACTAACCACATTTCTAACAAACCCAAAATGCCATTTTTCATCTTACCACAGCTTTAAGCATGCCTTACATCTTTCTGGTACCCTCTGAACAGTGTCCTTGGAAGCTGCTGCTTCAGCTCCAGCTGTTTCTGTTGTTAGCTCTGAGAAGCTGTGCAGTGTCTGGCTGGTTCAGGGTGTGCTGCCCAGACCAGAGCAATGGGAATGGCAGGTCTGGTTAATTCCTCCCAGCCGAAAGAATCTGCCTTGTTCAAAAGGATGGAAAATAAGCATTAGCAACCTTCTTATGCTTCTTTTTGTGCCAGTGCTGCAGCCACGCTGTGGGTCTGCCCCCTGTGCCAGAGCTGGCACAACTGTACCTTCTCAAGAAAGCTTTGCAGGTGTGCTCCACATGCTGGGAATACTTCTCTATCTACATGAAATGTTTGCTGAATTCCTTTATGCTGCTGCTGCCATAGTCTCCTTTGTGCAGGGGCTGGAACAGAAGTGAGAGGCTGGGCTGAAGGACAGGCCTAACCTAACAGAAGGGTGGAAAAAGCCATCATAAACTGCTTCTCATTGTGCCAGGTCCCAGGGGACTGTCCACTTTTCTCAGCTGCTGATAGCAACAGGAAGCACAAGTCCAGGCAAATATCCAGTGGGATTTTGAATTAATTTATCCTGGCTAGGAGATCATTAGGTCAATTGGGTCAAAGAAAGCAACACTGAGGTTTGGAGGGCAGAGTTTTGAAGCAACTAGAGATGTTGCGCTTTTCCTGAGGTACAAATTGCTTTCAGAATACCTGGAGTGTTATGACCAGTACTGTGTCTTTGGCACGGTGCTGCTTTGGCCTTGGGCATTTGATTTTATGAATTAAGATTATGTGTTGTTAGGGATATAGTTAGTAATTCGTGCCGATAAAATATAGACTTCTATAAAATATATGAACCAAACTGGCTGTACAAAGGGGGGCTAGGGATTTCATTCTCAGGATGACGAAACTGTGGCAGACTGGCAAGGGGATACCATGATATTTACATATGACGGAGACCTCGGCTGCACAGGAGATGGTTGTTCATGGTGGCAGTATCCAGAGATGCCCAGAGATGATGGCCCACAAAGATACCCATCTGAGATAACCAGGGCCATCAACACCTGCCACCTGAATACAGGATTCCAGGAATCAGGGAGAAGCATTAATCTATTCCAGGATGAAGGCTTTGTGCAGTAGAGACTGAAGAAAAGAACCAACTTGAATATAAAGAACTCTGAAAAGAGACAAAGGGACTCTGCTGCAAGTGAAATAAAGAGTATAAGAACTGTTCCCTCAGAACAGCCAGTGTGGATGAGGGGGATTTGGTGCAAGAGAGGCCAAATCCACGTTCACCCAGCCTATCTCCCAGGGGTGTTGCGCTGTCAGTTTGATTGTTGGCTGTCGGGACTGTATCACGGTCGTGAATCAATTCTTTTTGGTTTTTTATTAGAATTGGACATATTCCATTTCTACCTATAACATATGTCTTGAGTAAAGAGGAAAAATTTTTTAAATGCCTTGGTAAAGCTTTCAAAAATAGAATTGTAATTAGCGTATCTATTACACATACTTTCACCAATAGTAAATGGGCTCTTTTCTCAGAGAGGCTGACTTATGTAGGTTTGACAACTCAGTACAAAGGTGTCCAGGTTTGCGATTGCTGGATGACATTGAGCTGTACCTGAAAAGTCTTAAGTCAACAGCAACACTGTGAGGGCTACAACACAAAGCCATAAAATACTGCCATTATTTATAATATCTTGACATAGTAAAATTATTAAATTGTTGGTTCCTTTGTTACAGCTACCCTAAAGCCTCGTCTTGCATCATTGCTGCGTTTTCAGTGCACTGTGAGGGCTACAACACGAAGCCATAAAATACTAACTGCCATTATTTATAATATCTTGACATAGTAAAATTATTAAATTGTTGGTTCCTTTGTTACAGCTACCCTAAAGCCTCGTCTTGCATCATTGCTGCGTTTTCAGTCCCTTTGAGCAAAATGAAATTTTGCCATTTCCTTCACGCTCAACAAAAGAAAGATGCATGTCAGAAGTGAAGTTTAGGTTTGGTGAGCTGAAATTAATGATGTCATAGATGCTGACAGTACTAGAAAGTGCTTTTTTTTTTGTTTTGTTTTCCCCATCTTTTTACCTAGAACAGATAAATAAAGGAGGATATTATTTATTCAAATTTTTTTTTTTTTTTTTTTTTGCGGGGGTGGGGGAGGTGAGTGGATATTCAGTAGATGGAAAACTGGACAAAGGATTCCTGTTAACAGATGTAATCTAAATTTTTATGGTAAAAATGGTCTAAAATAGGTAAGTCAAATGGAATATATATTTCTAGTGTTTGTTTATCATTTTGAAGATGGCAATTACATGTGGGTGCATCCTCTGGAGTTCTTTAGTTTTTAACAATGGCAAAAATATCTGGAGGGGACAAGAGACCATCATTATGAA